AACCATCGGTGACCATCATCCCGAGGTCCCCAGCCAGGGAGCCTATGTGATCTAGTCTCCTGGTTAGGGTTTTCACACCCTCATGCCAGGTCTTAGCTTGACCGCCAAGCCTATGTGATCTAGTCTCCTGGTTAGGGTTTTCATACCCTCATGCCAGGTCTTAGCTTGACCGCCCTTTGTTCTTTTTTCCAATCGCTACCAGCCTTGGCAAACATCGTTCGCCGTGGCAACCTATCTGGTGACATGCGTAGCACATTTACATTACATTACATTCGGCTACCGGACCGAGCTACATGTCCCTGATACCGGATGGTTGGTTCACTGTCCAAATATTTGCGAAACATGATATCCTGCTTTTCGGAACGATCTTTGTACAGCGTAATGCAGTGAAGCGAACTTCGCTGACCGCTGCAACTAATGGATGGCGGCAGGCAGATCGTGTGGCTAGATCAGCGGTGGTCGCAATTCATGAAAATTGAACTGAATCCCATTAGCCCAGGCTAGAAAGTGCACGAAACCCATGTGGACAGTCCTATATTGTTCGTTGACATTCCATAAAAATAAGCAACGAGTTGACATTAGCTTGAAAAGCCGAAGTATATGAGTAATGACATCATGACAAACATCAAAATGAAATTTCTTAGTACTAGATTCTATTAAATACGCCCATTGGATTACTTACAGCTATTAGTCGGTCATATTCTGTTTCAGCTTTGACTGTTCTGTTGAGGGTCATTTGCTTTCTTGCTCCATTTAAGGCGAAAATGGGTTGGAATATAAGCTATTGAAGGCCTTACGATTCGAGGATTGTGATTATTTGGGTAAATTACGGCGCAGTTCATCAGGGTTGCACCAACAGACAGTTTTGATTTGCGGTACTCTCTGATTACCTATCACCTCAATCACCAGCCGAAGGACTCAATGAACACTGAAAGCAATCCAGACGGGCTGTCCCCATCGACTTTTAAGGATGGAGGTTTAGCCTTGGTTTTGGAGTTAACAAAACTCCTGGATTCAGTGTGGGAAAGGGAACAGGTTCCAACTGAATGGAGTGAATCGGTCATCATACCGATATACAAGAAAGGTGACAGATCCTCTTGTGAAAACCATGGAAGAATTAGTTTAATCAAAATCGTATATAAACTTCTTGCTGGCATTAAACTCCGTCGATTGTCTGCCGCATGTGGACGGCGCACGCGTGAGAACCAGGCTGGCTTTAGACCTGGTCGAGGTTGTATTGACCACGTCTTCACTCTTCGTCAAATCCTAGAACACATAAACTCTTTTCATAGACCCACCATTTCAATTTTCCTAGACCTCAAAGCGGCTTTCAACTCAGTTGATCGCTCTAGACTCCGGCGCTGCCTTTCCCTGAAGGATGTGCCCGAGTTTATTTCAATATTACAGTCCCTCTACAATAATAGCCGAAGCCCAGTTCGAGCTTACGACACTTTTTCGACCAACTTCATCACGGAAAGTGGTGTTCGACTGAGTTTCTTTCTCCTTTTTCTATACAACTTTGTTATGGATTTAATTCTTGAAACAACTCTATCCTCGTACGAGAATAGTGGCACACATTTACTCCCAGGTGGCAGCGACGCGTGGGCACTCTCATATTGCGTAAACTTCAGTCAGTTGGTTTTCCGTTGGTCTACCGACTCTCACAGAAGTCAACAACGCTCTAGAACTCCCTTTAAGCGACTGTGGTGGAGAAAAAGACCGACGCTGCGTTTGGATGAACACCTCAATGGGCTATGGAGGAACGACTACATGTGATCGGACCTTCGACCCAGTGGTGATGGGGCTTACACTGAATTCTGAGGACTACATCATTAAGACCGATACGTAGCCTCGTGATTCCAGATGCTTCCATAAAACAGGTAAAATTTATGGGCCGGGTGACAATAGTAAAGTTACTACTGACTCCTATAGGTGTGTATCCCAAAATGGAAAAGTATACGAGAAAGCTCCGGTTATTTTAAATTTGCAAAACATGCAAAAATTTGGATGATTTGAAGAATATAGAGACACTGTCGTAATATCTCAGATCACAGCACAAGTTAAGAGAGCAATTTGAGAAACCAATAGATAAATAAAACTTCATAAACGAACGGATGGTGGCCAAGAAAAAACCGGAATCTTATATATTGCTACAAATCTATGTACAAATTATCAAAATGTTTGACTATGAAGTGTCGTTTATAAGGTTCTCCAGTGGAAGACCATATTCTTCTATAAACGACTTGTAGTACAATGGATGCGACTTCAGACAGCCCATCAATTCACGATGAATGCGTTCGAAGAGCGTTCTGTTTGCCTCTTGATCGAATGCCTCTTCATTATTCAGGAAACGATCCATATTCTTCATAAAATTACGGAAAAAATATCCACAGGGGCCAGTGACATAAGCACTAACGCATGAACAATGCCAATTGAATGCTCCTGAACCTGTGCGAAATCCAGGTTTAGCGAATTGACGGTCAATTTCGTTATATTTTTCCAATCCAATTTTGGGCTGGGCCTCCTCACGACTTAAGAATGTAACCTTATGTTGATCAGCCATCATAAAAGCGGAATGAACCGTAATCGCACAACTCAGCTCACTGGTTCAGTCCAATGTCCAATGTCCAATGTCCAGTTTACAAGAGGAGAAAGCTCGTTGGCTTGTAGTTTTGCCTGTTTCTTGATCTATACGGTAAAGTCTGATGTTCGGAAATTTCTGTTTTTAATTCGTTTGTTCTTGTAATCTGAAAGTGTAAGCAAAAAAAAAAGAAAAGAAACAGGTTAGTAGGGTGCTTCTTGTCGGTGTAGCAGGTTAGTTACCT